CGTAGCAGGTTCTTGCAAGAGCACGGATAAGGACTGTCGGCCAGCTACAAGGTACTTGAACTGGCGGGCATTGAATCCACTCAACAACCTCGTTAGTAGCGAGAACATCGACGCTTCTGTCGTCAACACGCTCTCCGACTTCATGGAACAGCCCTTTTCAGGCGAACCAACAGGACGTCCGTTCATCTTCAAGACCAAGACGCTAGCGTTCCATATCGATACAAGTGTCTACAGAGACGGGAACAGACTCCTAAGTAAATCAGAAGTGCCGGTGAGAGCAATTCATCAACTCGCCCATCTCTACTTCAAACAACTTTACCCCGCCAATGTCGAGAGAGCAAAATATTTCCTGAACGATGTGCAGGAGTATGTCCAAATCTGGTTTCAACAATGGAAAGAGAATGAACAGGTTTCGCCGAGAGTTGAAAAAGTCTTATTCTGCATTGATGGGGCGACTGTGCGAGAGCTAGATCCGGCTCAATATGCACAAGGAGTTAGCAAAGACTGAAACACAAGTACTTCATTGAGTGGAAGCACTAAGCTCTTGTCTATTCAATCTTTCTTCCGTATACTCTTGTACAATACACAAAACAAAACAAAAACGACCGCACCACAAAACAAATTCCACATTTTCCCTTAGCATCCCTTGAACTCTAAGACATCTCGTCTATCTCACACTCCACCCCAAACTGACTCCCATATCCCCCTTCACCCATCCACAATACTCTTCATAAACCTCTCCTCCGACTCCTTCGACATTGACGCAGTAACCCAATACCCCCCTTTCGCATCCTTCCCGACCAAATTCGTCATGTGCGCCAAAGACACCCAATCACTCTGGCGCCTAAATATCCCATTAGTATGGTAATACGTCGGCCTCCCCCTCCTTCCTCCTCCATTGCTCTCCTCGCTCCCACCACGCACAAGGGCCGCCGAAAAGTCCGTTTCGAAAAACCTCGCTTTATTCCAGTTACTCATGATGATTGTCTTGGGAATCATCGTCGTACCCGGTGGGAGTATGTGGTCGTAGCGACCGAGCCGCTGGTCGCGATGCGTTTTTTCGAGCGCCTCGCGGTTGCCCTTTTCGACGATTTCCTTGCGGAGTTTGGCGGCGACGTGGCCGAGGGGGAGGCCGAGAAAGTCTTTTAGTGTAAAGGGGGTGAAGATACCGGCCGTGGCGTTTCCGATGTATGCGGTGTTTTTGGGGATTAGGACTTTGTATTTTTCCGTCGCTTCGCTTAGTACATCGCGCATTTCGAGGACGTTGAGGACCAGGATTGGACGGGTGGGAGGGTGCTTTGGGAGGTCGAGGTCGGAGGTTACGAGGTGCCGGATTAGCCAGGAGGTGATGATGTCGCCGTCGGAGAGGAACGGTGTGGTTTTGGGAGGAGCAGTGGTGTTGTAGGTTATTTGAGAAGGGTCGAGTGAGGCGAGGTCGCTCATTGCTTCATTGCGTAGTCGGGCCATGGAGGATGCTGGTATGTACATTTTGCGATCGCATTGTGGCTTGGGGGTCTGGAATAGGCGCCAGTGAAGGACAGCAAGGATGAGTTTGAAGCTGGGTAACTTGGGTAGCCTCGAGATCCAGTCCTTGAGACTTGATGCTGCCGCCCATACCGAATGTTGTTTCTTTTCTTCATCTTCCTCATTTTGTAGCGTGCCAAGCTCTTCTAAATAGTCAACATCGTAGTCCCAGAGTTCTGGTACGTCTTCATCCCTTCCTTCTAGGACCGCGATCCATGCATCCAACAATGTATGGAGTCCCAACGCATCCATTAGTGTATGTAGCCACGTTATTGTAACCAACGTCGCATCTTGAAAATTGGCAATGTCCAGCCCTAACTGTGCCTTGTCGCTGTGAGTCCAATATTCAAGCACTTTTGGACCGCCCTCCCGTGGCGTAAGCTCAGTCGTCACAGGTAAGGTTTCAAATGATTGTATACAATCATTGTCTTCGATATTGGGCAACCTGCGCGAGACGGGATGTTCTTGCAATTTCATATCATACGTCTTTTGAGTGTAATCAATTGGTGGACGATCCTTGGTATACTGGGCCGGAATATGATTCTCAAGTCGTCCACCGTTGTTGTTCCAACGTATTCGTGCTCCCACTTTTTTCCAACGGGGCTTCTCAAGCAATTTCCAAAGTGCATCAGCGAGCTTTTGGGCATCGAGAACATCGTCGAAGCGCATAGTGAGCTCCACCGCAATGTTTCTATGTTCACTTCTATCATCCTGGCTATTCAGCGGTATGACTGTATCCGTTGGTATGCGCTTTGGAGCGGGTCGTTGTCCAAAGGCGTAGTTGAGAAGGAATGACATTGCAATATTTCCGAGAATTTCCGAGAATGGGAGAATGATACTGGTGTGTAGTCGAGGAATCTCATCGATTCGAAGTAATGTGTTGTTAGGCTTTGTCGTCTAATTCTTGTCCGGACTACGCCCTTTTACAAAGAAAACAGAAAGCGAGAAGAGCGAACAAGTAGCACACAAAAGGATTAGTTATTTAACATCTTGTTGTTCAAACTTTACGCACGAATCGCGTCTCTGCTTACGTGCGGCAGAGAGAGATTCGTGGTCAGACTTTCCGGTTGCTTCCGGGGTGTCTGAGACCCATGAAGTCGTCTCCGAAACCCTTGTCTTGAGTCACAATAGAAACAGTTATGAGGTTCAATCGATGAAAACTCATCCATTAATTCTAATTGTGGAAGAGAGGAGTATTCACTTCCGGTTACTCCTTTGTCGTATTTCCGGCGCTCATCGATCTTAGTATTTAGTCTAGCAACCGTGCGGCATCTGGGGAAGTTGGGTCTGTGCCACGGGGCAGTTTTCATCCAACCATCTGGATCCACCAAGAGGGCCTTGGTACATATTTTGCAACGTAGAACATCTAGTGCAAGAACCGGCGCACCAAAAATCTACCGGATTCAGGGTAAGAGGGATTTTTACCAATTCTGAAAGAGTAGCAAAAGGCATCTTCTGACTGAACTTCTCCCTCACTGCCCAGCTGGCATTCACCAAACGCCAATACCAATCATCAATCATAACTCATTATCATTAATCATTAACATCAAACGCCTATCAATTCCCCGGGCCCGCGAAATTCCCTATGAAAACAACCAAGATGGCACAATAAGCCGCAGATGCCGCAAACAGCTCGTGTCTCGCCGCCTTCGTCAGCAAACTCATCGCAGCACTGAACAGCAACGTAAAAACCATCAAAACACCAACCGCATTGAAAGTATCCCTCTTGTTTATATCCACAGCAGCAGTAGCGTTCTTGTCAGTAGGGCTGGGTTCAGCATGTGTAGCAGTACTAGTGAGCTGGTACATGGTGACTACAGGGACGACGAGGAGACAGAAGATAACCACAGTAATGAGTACGTTGACGAGTTTGTCGATGCGAGAGCTGCTGTAGAAGGAGACGTAGGGGTTTGTTGTTTTTTCTTGGGCCTCTGGTGTGCGGAAGTATTTCTAAGCAGCAACAGTCAGCATCGTGTGACGGGGTTTTGCCACAAGAGGGTGAATGCTTACCTGGAGTGGCAAGGACTCGGTTCGGAAGACTTTTTGTAGGAGGCGGTCGATTTGGCCAATTACTGTCTCTACGCCACCGTCAAAGGTAGCCCATTCGCGGCCGTTGTGCAGTGAGACAATGTCTTCCTTAGTGCGGATGGAGTCCATTTCAGCGTCCATGAGTGGCTTTTGGTTGTGGCAGTAGCGCCGGACGCTGCGGTAGTTGCGGTCTGAAGGTCTTTGGAATGATTCCAGTGTTCTTGCCTTGATGAGGACCTCGTCTGAAGATGGTTGTCAGTCTTGACATCCAACTCCAATTTGTAAAGTTCGATACTCACCATACTCTAATAGCTTCGACTGGATCTCACGAAGTATAACTCGGCGGGTACGTGGCTCCCCTTCTCCATCAGGCTGTTGAACATCATAGTCTCTTGACTTCAAACGGTCGGCATCTTCGTCATGATCTTCCCAATCAATTTCGTCCAACTCCTTCTCTAGACAAGTGATTTGGTCTTGCAGGTCAAGTAGGACGCGTGAGTGTAAGTAGCTGAAAGAGCGGTACAATGAGAAATTTGGTTCGCTCGCTTGGAATGCAGCAAGTCTGGGAAATCCGTTGGGGGTTTCCTCCACTGCCAATTGTGAGAAATGAGCGACCTAAGGAGAGGGCAATGCATACACTTGCGCGTTCTATTTTCGGTCACATATTCTGGTTCAGGTGCCGAACGGAAAGGCACCGTTATCCGTTGGAGCAACTTGGGGCGCTTTTCCTTCCCTTCTATCCGAACATTAGTTTATTTGGTTTCCACGAAGCGCGCATGGCGTCTCGATGTACTTGGTCCAGAATCTCCGAGCCATTATGCACATGGGTGCTGACGGCAAGGCGTTTTCACATGCGATGGCTACATGCGATAGCGACATGACGAGACGGGGCGTTGAGCCAAGACCGGCAGGCAGACTTTGGGGGCCAAATGGGCGGGTGGGAACACCTACGAGGCTGTGCACTCTCGATATCAATCGAATCTGTCCGCACGGACGGATGGATCGTGGAGTGGGTGTCGTCGGCGGTTTCAACAAACTCCTCAGCTAGAGTTGCATCTGTGTTGGTCGGGGATGCTGGGGATCCGGGGGCCTTTTCGATGTAGGTGTCTCCCGTCATGGTTCGAGGAGGGGTCATTATGGGCCTGAAAGGGAGCGCAGCTCTTCACGTCACCGAGGATGCAATAGGAGAGAGGATGAAAAGTTTTGCACAGGTTCAAGAAATGGTCAGACAGACATTAAGAACAAAGTGTGGCTCGTAAAAGTGTGGCGGAACAGAAATTGCATAGCCATCAGACATGACTTGGGACGGGGATTGTTGTCCCCCTCAATAAAGCTCAGCCCCCGAACGCCCCTAACGCCTCATGCGCGATTGGTTACTCCCGCCTTGATTTCAGCTGCCTGGCAGCTACCGGTGAGCTGAGCCACATGGCAAGGCGAGGTGACAACGCTTAGTTACCAGGCTTCAGTTCCTTCTCGCGAGTCCATCCAGATTCGACCCTCATGTTGTAGACATCCTTGAGCTTGTACTCGACATAGCCCGCGGGATTGGATCTGCGGTCGTAGATTGTGAAGACACCCTTGCTGCGCAGGCCATTGACGAAAACTGGCTTGTGGACGACATCGCCCTTTTTGAACCGCGCGCTTGCCTAAGGCATTGTGAGACGGCATTGCATGTGTAATGGAGAACCCCGAGCTTACCATTGCGGCGTCGGGATCCACGCGCACGCCTGATTTGGTGTCTGGAATTTCATATTCAGGCTGAGAGGCCAGAAACTCGTCGTGTGGCTGATTGTCAGCTGCGTGAATGTCTTCAGCAGGCTGCATGTGCTGCGTGCCGAGTGTGGTGGTTGCCATGGCTTGGGGAGATGCGAGAAGTGAGGCAGAAAAGCCTTGTGGATTGTGCCTTGAGGAAGAGAAGAATCGGGTGTTAATATACAAGTCCTTATTGCTGGCCTCTTAGAAGGACGATTAATGCAGCCCCAGGCAGCACAGGTTTGTGACTGGTATGATTACAGATGGGGGCCCAAATGGTTGCTTGCACAGCCGCCGCTTCGGCATCGTTTATGCCTTGTCCGACCAACACCGTTTATCAGCTCGCGCTGGAGGCGCACCTCGATTGAGTAAGCCAACATTCCCATGTGCAGTTTGCCATGAGCAGCGTTCGCACACGGCACCGATGATTCCGGCAAGACAATGATCGAAAATAGACAATGAAGGCTCCGTGTGCGGCCCCCAAGCGGAAATTGGCCCGGCGTTGATTGGCAGGCTGGCCCTCGCATCTACCACATCTCCCCGCTCGCGCGTGTCGTGCATGTCCCGCCAATATGGGGGCTGAAAGCCACCGCGAACGCTTTCTTAATTATGGCTGGTTGCTGCAAACCTCACCTTCTGCAGCAACCCCGCTGTCCTCTTGATTCATGGCTCTCTCCTCAGACACTGGCGCGCACGTCGTGCAAACAATGGTAGCCGAGGCCGCTCCTCGCGTTGTAAACCCATATCCAAACAAAGTTATCCATGCCGACATACGCATACAATCGATTGACGAAGAGCCATCCCAAGATGGACCGGTTCAGCAGAGCGATGGGCGTATGCCCGAGAGCACCTCGAGCGCGGCAGATGCTGAATACCAAGAAAGAGCCGCAGAGATGCAGAACTGGTGGGCTGAGGCTATTGCACGGAACATGGACCTGCCGGAGGGGTACTCGCATGTCGCAGTGTTGATCATCAAGTGGGCGGATGACCTTGACGAGCTCAAGACGGGCGAAGAGGTGAGTTGGTGTGAAACACGTGTTGGCGTACGTCACCGTCTGACTTTACTAGGCAAGGGAACTCGGCGCTCTCTTCCGTGATAGATTCAACTACGCCACCAGCATCGTCGAACTCAACGTCGTAAAGAAGCCACAGCACCAGCTAGACAGCTATGTTAGCGATTTCATCTGCAACAACGATGGACCAGATAATCTCTTGATTGTATACTACACCGGCCATGGCGTTTTCAACGACCAGAAACACTGCCTCGAACTCACGGGCAGTCTCCGCAACAACGTTCTGCTCCAGGATAGAGGATTCCGCACGACTGCCCGCGCAACTTGGAACAAGGCAGAAGATCTTCTCAGGCATGAGGATGTCGAGGGAGATGTCCTGACCATCCTGGATACCTGCTACTCGAGCAATTTTGTCAAGTCTTCCAAGGATGGCCACAAGCGATTCGAGCTTCTCAGCGCATGTGCAATCGATCAGACGACTGAAGCTCCTGGCAAGAACTCGTACACCCGTGCGCTTATTGATGCTATCAAGGAGCTCCTAGACAAGGACGGCGAGGGTCCGATATCTACATTCCGTCTGTACCAGCGTATCAACATGGACCCTCGCCGCAAGGATACTCCGTCCCAGATATGGTCGCGTGGTAAGAGCGTTCACTACAGCGAACAACACATCTTCCTGGCGCCTCTGAAACTCACGAAAGCACATACGTTGCACTTGCCCAGTTGGCGGACCAGGCCCAGGGGTTACCTGACCCTGCGTTTTGGTCTCCGAGATCCAATCCTAAACCAGCAGCAAATTGAGTTTATGACCAAAGCTCTCTCCAAGTCCTTTGCCAACAAGGCACTAATGGGTCTAAGGAAGATTGAGTGGGTGGAAATGGAGTCTGCACCACCCATGTCGCATTTCGAGCGTGTTGCTTCCGTCGTGCGCGTCGTGGCACAGTGGAAGAAGGCTGTGGTTAAGAAAAAGGAAGCAAGGCAGTCACAGCGCCATGATAACCAATCCAACCTACCGCACATAAACGTCGAATCAGCCAATGCGCTACACAAGCGCGCACGCACAGAAGCGGAAACAGATGAGCTGCCACATGCGAAGAGAGCATATCTCGACACCTCGCACCCTCCCTCGCCGCCAGTGTCAGAGTCTTCGCGTGCCGAAGCCGAAGACTCCTGAAGTTTTACTCTTTTTTTTTTACCGATTCCTTCGAACCTTTTTTTTTGCATTTCAGTTGAGCTTGCTTGAGCTTAGGATACCCATTGTCGTGCGCTGTATACAATGATTTCAACTTGTTATTTTTATTTCCGTAGTTCCGTAGCGTTCCGTCTTTAGCTGCGTTGGCAAGATTACTATTTCTCGCTCATGTGGCGAAGGTGGCACCACTTTCCAATCTCACCACCATCACCAAACTTAGCTTACCCAATGCAATGCAATAACGCCATACATGGCGGCGTCCTCCGCACCGTCACCTTGTCCTCGCACAAACTCGTATCCACGCTCCGTGACTGCATGACTTCGTCCACTAACCATTCGTATAAAAGGCTTTGAGTACCTGCCACTTTCGTATCCACCACCACAACAAAGCATCAGCAATCACATCTACATTACACATACACATATTCAAGCTCGCATCTCAACCACAACCAGAGATCCCAGCAAATACAACAGCGAACATGACAGCTACCACAATCATCACAGCTGTACCAACAAACCAACACGACCACACCATCGGTCATTGCCGCGCTCAACGGCACACGCTCTACGCGTACACCGAGCATTGCCAAACAGTCGATGCAAAACCAAACCCTACTGTTTCGCAACCTCAACCCTGCAGTGAAGACGAGTGGACAGAGAGTTCAGAAGAGCTTGCGCGCTGGGGCATACAAGCTGCTGAGCCGGCGAGACAGGATGCTGTTCCTGCGACGAGAGTGCATGAAGAGCCCGAGTGTCTGAGGATCGAGGATGTTGCAAAGTTTTGGCAGTAACTGGATATGAGGATTGGAGTTTGGGAGTTAGCAAAGGGATTTGATGGCATTTGTTATTTTTGTAGAATAGATTTTTAGAGTTGTAATGAAATAAAGAATGCATGCATGCATGATACCAAAACATCTATAGTTGTTTCGTGAACCTTCCACCACTTCATTATCTCTTGGATACTCATGGTGAATCAAATCATTATACCAAGTTCGCATGCAAAACTACCATTCCGTGTTAGTATACGATACTCCACAACGTCCGTTGGAGAAAGCAACGGAGTTGTATTGCCCCACGTCGCCCACACCTCGCTTCACGTCAAAAAACGTTGTCTAATATATTTTACCTAATACCCAAAATTTCCATCAATGATCACAGCATTCAGGTGCGGTGCCAGAGTGGTTAATGGGTATGACTCGAATTAACTAGATATCATATGGCTTCGGCCGCAGGAGTTCGAATCTCCTCCGCATCGTTTTTTTCTTTTTGCATCTTAAGTGACATGGCTGACCCACACGTATACAACGTTATCTTTTGCGTGTTGACACAGTTCTGTTCATGCTGATTTGGCTGGGTGCTTACTTTCTTTTTTTTTTACTTCGCATGAGATGGCTACATAGGGGTGCGAGCAGCGTCTAAATGCCTAGGAAGATGAGAGATGATATCCATGGTAAGTGTATATAGTATATTTATCATTATTATCTACTTACGAATAAACATACACGGTAACATGTAGTATGTGCAGGATGGGAGAAGCACATGGAATTAAGTTTTCTCTACCACTTAGTACACTCGCACCATGAAGAAGTCTCCTTCTCTCAATCAACATATCTAACTAAAAAGTATTCGTACAAACATCTTACTACCCAATAATCAGTGAACCATGACCATTCAGACTGGAAAGATTGTGCTAAACGGGATCGTATGCTATATGATTTTTCCAAAAATATCATTAAGCAACACAGCGCCGTGCGCATTTCGTGCTAGCCTGTTGGTACACTGCAAATTCTAATTTCGTATTTTTTTGACTCTATACCAGTTACTTGGACAAGTGATTCAACTTGTTGGAATTCGTTTTCATCGGGAAATGTTGCATGTTTCGATAATGGATAGTTTTTTTTCAGTATTACATGTCGGCCCTGGAAATCCTGATGATTGGCCTACTCGAGCAGTTCAGATAATATTGGCAAACACGATGGATGTGCCGTTTCGATGATTGTCTTGATTATGCGAACGTACTTGGATAGTTCCAAAAGCGCAGGATCATCTCTCGGCAATGGTAAGTGTAGAGCTTTTCACGAAATTTGGTCTTCACTCCAGGTAACATGTATAACTGACAAAGTGAAACAGATTCATATTATCGTGACGACTATAATGGATATCGTACGTAGATGCGCAATGGTATCGCTCGCTTAGTGTAGTTGCCCCAAGGGTTTTAGAGCACAGCTCCGGAAAAAACCGCCAGCTACAACTCAACCAAACTCTCTCTTGATCAACATTCGTCAAGCTAATGCTGTCCTAATGTACAAAAAATTGACACGCAAGAACGCGCCCATATCTACAACAGCATCTTCCTGGGGTCCTCAATATACTCCTTGACCTTGACCAAGAAAGTGACAGCCTCTCGTCCGTCAAGAAGTCGGTGGTCGTAGGTGAGGGCGAGGTACATCATCGGCCTGATCTCGACCTTTCCGTTGATGGCGACGGGCTTCTCCTTGATGGCATGCAGACCGAGCACAGCCGTTTGTGGGAGGTTGATGATGGGAGTGCCCATCAGACTGCCAAAGACACCACCGTTGGAGATGGTAAAAGTACCACCGGCCATATCCTCAATGGTGAGCTTGTTATCACGTGCCTTTTTGCCGAGGTCTGCAATGGCCTTCTCGATGCCAACCATGTCCATGCTCTCTGCGTTCCTGACGACGGGTGTGACAAGGCCCTTCTCGGTAGCGACGGCAACCGAGATGTCGACGTAATCGCGGTACACAATGGTGTCGCCGCCGTTAGGGCCCTCAATGGAAGCATTGACAGCGGGGACATCGCGCGCGGCGAGGATGCAAGCGCGGGAGAAGGCGGACATGAAGCCAAGCTTGACGCCCTTGTTCTTGAGAATCTCATCCTTGTAGAGCTTGCGGAACTCCATGATGGAGGACATGTCGACTTCGTTGAAGGTGGTCAGAGAAGCGGCCGTGTTTTGCGACTGCTTGAGACGCTCGGCAATTCGGAGACGCATGCGGTTCATCTTGACCTGCATTGAACGGTTAGTGCACATATAACATGAGACAGACTCTGTATACATACGCGACGCTCCTCACGGCTGCCGGGGGTTGCGGGTTTGGGCTCCTCCTTTGGCTTGGAGTCCTTCTTGGGCTCAGGCTTCGATTCCTGCTTGGGCTGCTCTTGTTGCTTAGGAGGCGCTGGCTTGGATTCCTCCTTTGGCGCCTCAGGCTGAGACTGCTCCTGCTGGCCTTCAGGTTGCGATGAAGTCTCCTGGTCCTGAGAAGCGGGTTCCTTGGGTTCTTGGCTGGCTTCCTTCTTTCCACCTTCTGGCGCCGCGCCAGGCTCAAGCTTCACAATCTCCTGTCCAACAGTGACGGTGTCCTCCTCATTGACCAGGAACTCCTTGATGATACCGGCCTCGGGCGCATTTACAGCAACATCAATCTTGTCAGTCTCAATGGTTGCGATTTCTTCGTCTTGCTCAACAAAGTCGCCAACCTCTGCACACGTCGTTAGCTTGCCCCCGCAGTCGAGCAACGAGAGTTGATCGCACGTTTTGACCATTGCTTGAGAGTTCCCTCGGTGATGGACTCGGCCATTTCGGGCACCTTGACGATGGTGTCGGCATAGGTTCTTATCTGCTCGAGAGCGCATAGGCGCTGTGAGGAGAGCTGAGCTGGGCGCCTGTGTGGGGGGTGTCAGTTGATGGCATGTCGGTGGGGTGGAGCAATTGGCCGCACCTTGAGGCCTGGCCCAGAAGACCGGATGAGTTGGCTTTGGTGAGAGCCGAGTAGGAGCGGGCAGTAGGAGTGCATCGGGGGCTTGCGCGCAAAGCTCGCACAGAGCGCATGGCAGCTGGTAGGCGGCGGAGACACTGTTGGCCAGACATGACGGGCAGATAAGCGAGGACCGAAAAAGAAACGAGAGGGGCGGGGAGAGATGAACGCCTGGGTGCGGGCGAGGAGCGATTTGCTATGCGATAGTATGCTCGGGTAAGAGGACAGAAGACTTGAGGCAATTCAACAGCGATGATGCAGTTCTCAAACAGGCACAGCGACCTCTTATGTAATCACGGGTCCCGCACTCCGCCCTCCGCACAGGCCCCACGACTGCCATGCGAGTAATAGCTTCGTACATGCATATAATATATTAACCATAGTTCGTTATGCTACTATCTCATCGCAGCTATAGCTCGCTCTTCTGTCGCCTTCGCCACAACAATAATCGATCTGGTTATTGTATCCAATGGAGGTGTGCCTAATAGGCATATACCCGTTTTCGTGCAGGCTTCTTTTTTGACTCTTTTGACTCTCACTGCAAAGCTATTCTTTGATACTCTATTCCAGAAGGGTAGGATGTGGCCTGCTTTTCTTTTCCGAGTAAAATAATTTGATGTGCTATAAGCCAAGCAGATGCAACAAATTCAAGTCATAGTATATTAAAGTATGTAGACGTGTTACTCATATAGCTCGTTATCCTATCTTTACATATGTACCCATCATCATCATTACAGCTTTAGCCGCATATTACGACCGGTCCGAACAGTCTTTCAAACATGAAGAAATGCAATTCTACCCTCCCTAACTCATAGTTTGACTGTACTTCTCGCTCGAATCCTATCCCCAAACTTGAGGAACAAAAATGGAATCGGCACCAGTGCGGTCGCTATGAACCCCAACATACTATTACCCCATCCATACCCCATCTTCTCATACATAGTTTTACTGCTCAGCGGAACGAACGCTGCAACCAGACTCCTCAGCACCGTTGCTGCTGCCATGGCACTCGCCGCATGCACCGTGAACACATCAACCAGGTATGTGTTGGCAGGCAAAAACGTCATCAACAGGCCAAATCCAATCATGCCCGTTGCAATCATAGGCACAATAAAGTGTGTCTGGTACTGGACGCTCCAGCCGTACATGAAGAGTCCGCCGGGAATAGAGATGCCGCCGATGCACATATTGTAGAGCCGGTGTTCGGGGCGGAAATCGCCGCGTTTGATGTGCTTGTTGACAGTTTTGTTGCCGTAATGGACGACAATGGATTGCCCAATGAATGAACCTATACCTATACCTAGGAATGAAAGACCGCTTATGCTGCTACTCCATCCGTATTGCTTCCTGAAGACGGCCGAGAAGGTGGTGAAGAGGATGTAGAGATAGGCGTACATGACCGCGATGTATATGGAGATGGAAGAGCAGATTGGCGAAAGAAACAGCATTTTAGCCGGGCGGACGATTGAGTATCGGAAGAGTTGTTGAGGGGTAAGCCCTGTGTCAAGTTTGGAGCGCAGTTTAGAGTTGCCGGTTGAGGCTTTCAAGCGGTTGACTTTGCGTTGGAGGATGATGACAGCGGACGTTTCTGACATGAGGATAAGTGAGATGATGAAGAATGCACTACCCTGAGGTTTAAGTTAGCCGAGCTCTTACGTATCGTGATGAGAAGCCTACCAGTATAGCCACAAACCAAAAGTTCCATCTCCACCCCTTTGCAGCCGTGAGGAAGCCACCGATCACAGGACCGACGCAAGGCCCAATAGCTACATCAAACGCATCAGCCACATTTCCGCAGGAAGAATGGCCATATTGACTTACTAGGCCCCATAATCCACACCGACATCGCTGTCCCCCTCTGCTCTCTCGGAATCAAATCTGCAATCGTGCCACCCCCAAGCACCATGGGCGCTCCGCCAAAACACCCCATGAAGAACCTAAACACAATAAACTGCGTCATATTTGTTGCCACAGCCGCCGCAATCGTAAATATAATAAACAAGAGATTGCAGCTGTGATATAGCGGCAATCGCCCATACATTTCAGACAGTGGCGCGATAATCATCGGCCCAAATGCGAAGCCAAGCACGTACACTGACACCATGAAGCCAGAGAGTAGGTCGTTTGTCGAATGGAACTCGCGCATGACGTCGGGTACGCCGGGTGCAAACTGCGAGCTCGCGAGTGGTGTGAGGAAGGTGATTGCAGAGACTAGAGATACTGTGCCCCATTTCTTGAAGGCTGTCCAGTTCATTGGGTTCTCAGGGTCGTCAGGACCGTCGAAGTCGACGATGTTGGGGTCTCGGTCATCGTCTGCTTCTGTGTCGTCGTCATCGCCGCTAGATATTGAATTGGTGTTGCCCTTTTCGATATCTTTCTCTCCTGGTTCGTATTCGTCTTTGGCCTTGTGTTGCCAGGCTGCGTTGCCGGAAGTGTGACTTGGCGCTTGATGTATCGAGCCAAGGTTGGTTGGGATATCTGCATCGTGGCCTTCGGCTACTGCTTGGTCAATGATCTCGCTTCTTGTGGGGTGTCGATAGAGTTCTGATGGCCCTCGTTCGGACATGGCGTTGGTATGTGAGGAATAGAAGAGGTCTCGCGTTCGAGTTAAGTTGCTATCATTCGATGCTCAGAATGTATTGCGCAGCTCGTCGTTTCGAAAATACAGAGGCTAGTAAAGCACACTCAAAGGTAGCTAGTAATTAAATCGATGGCACTAAGATGTGTATACTTCTCAACTATTTGTATCCGCGCCCGGGAATAGGCAAAGCAAATAGCCGACACAAACGTATGCGTACAAAGACCAGCATGATTGCTTAAGAGGCACAAGCTGGAACACGGCTAGAATACTAGCAGCCAAGTACGGGCCGGGGTGTGCAATCACCTCTATGTCCGCATCGTCGGTGGCTTGTCACGGAGAGATTGTGCGCTGAACCCCGAACATGGGTGCTTCAGGGCGTAAGGCGTGCTTTTTACCGGGGCCACCAAGTAAGTATACACTTGCATTGCATATTCGTAGGGCGCGTTCACGTATTATTGGGCACATGGTCCCAGATGAAGTCTCTTGCATCTACTTATATCCGCGACTCACAAATTCCATAGAGTATTATTCCGTAGATATTTGGTTAAAGGAGACATGTCCCGCATTGTTTAACCGAAATACCCCCTCTTTTCCCCACACACAACTCAGCCGCATTTTCGCCCATGATCGCATAACTACTCCCGCGGCTCAAAGCCAAGCCCCAGTTGTACCCTCTGTGTAACAACATAACTGGAATACCATCACTCTCTTTGAATTTGTAATCGTCGAATGAGAGTCGTATTATCCTCATCATGTGTCAAATCAAAGATATAGCGGTCGTATACCATCCACTAGTAAGTATGCAACCTTGCAAACATCACAACACCTCGGCCGAGCCGGTAAGCACACCGCCACACGGCTATTGGCTCCTGTGACCTGTTGCGCCCGACTAGTGTCCTTCGGCGGTTACAATGTCGCGACTCCGAAGATAGAGTGAGTGGAAGACAGTACGTTGTCCATGTCGTCGGCTAGTCACCGTTATATGCACATAATTACTTCTGGCTACCCACACGCTTGCTAGTGGTGGATATAAGCTGTTATAAAGCAGAAGAAACAATATATTGAGTCATACAAGTGGGATTTCTTGGCCATATAGGTAAGGTTCTAGTACTATCTTCAAAGCCACCGACGGAGAGAAATAGCTCCTAGTAACAGTAGGTCAGGTAATTTTTGTCTTGGGCCACCGCTCTATCAAGAACCTAGCTGCGTATAGATATACATGGTAAGCCTACGAGCTAGGCTCATCCCAGACTAGTCCAGAACAAAAAAAGTCGGCCGAAACGCGCTCGATAAGCAGCGTTTCCCTGTACAGCACCACTTTCTTCATCAGGCTTTCCTTTTTTTTCGTGATGCTCCGAGTCAACAAACATGACGCATAGTATTGGAATCCTGATGCCCAAAGCTTCCGTCTCAGCAGGTTCCTTGAAGACACCGAGGGCATTCATGAAGCTAGTGGCCATCATGTCAGAAGGGATGAACGTAAATGTGGAAGACAACTTATTTTCCGCTTTGGGAGGGGACCGCGGAATTGCACCGCGCATGACCTTGCCATGTTGGAGATGCGCCTTATGCTAGTCGGACGACACGTCGGGTTGACATTTTCAAGAACAAGAATAAGAAGAATAAGAAGGAGTATACGACATCAGCTACGTAGTGTATTCGCCGGATAGTCAAATATGAATCTGTTTTACGGAACGGACCGTTGGATCCATGGATGCGGACTAGAAGGTACCAGAAACAATGTAGTAGTATGCTAGCGCAACAGAACAAAAAACCACCAATAGAAATGTTCATTGTCGAGTAACAAAAGCCTATTATTCACGGGCCCCATTGAGCAACTCAGATTACAGTAATTGCTTTTATTAGCGCATCGAAGGAATCGGGTCTTCTAGGATGCCTAATGAATACTAAATGTTCTACTAGGTAGCAACTTCATACTGCAGAGCGACTGAACTCGCCTTCAGGCTAAATAGATACAATCTGCTTACTGCTACGCGTTCTAAGTTTCACTTCGAAATGTCACTATAGCTGTTAAACATGAACCAACGAATTGATAGAAACATGAAAGCAACAACGGATCAGGAAAGTGCGTGTCTCGATAGCTCCACGCGTTACTGCATCATACAATATCTCTTCTACCTCCTTCTATCTCCTTTTATCCTCTACACCAACGGTCTCCAACAAACTGCGCCTATATCTCAACCTAAACTACAAGACAGCTTTAAAGGCTATTCAATTGTTCCGACACTCCAAATTCGGTAACTGGTTCGCCATCATGGATTCCTGAAACTTCAACGTAAGCTTCGAGGATAGTCGTTCCAAGACCAGGAACATCCAAATTAGTCAGTTCTCCTGTACCTGGATGTTTTACTGTAACCTCCAAAGATAGACCCAGAGTTGGTAAGTTCAAAGTATATCCATTGTGGTATGTAAGATTGGTGACCGGTGATACCCATGGCCCGGTAGGATGAATGTCGTCCTCTAAGGTGTGAACCTCGGTATGTCCATTAGGGAATAGAACAGTTGCAAAACGTGATAGTTTCAATGGAAGATTGGTGGAGGATACATGCCAAACGCTCATCGACCATCCATTCGATAAGTAGATGGTATAGAAGTCCCATCCTTTTGTGGGAGCACCAGGACCCCATTGTCGATCCAACCAACCCACTGATTCCTCAGGAATAACCGCAACATCAGTGCCGTTCACGTTAATGCTGCCTGTAACCCATAGTTGAGGAGATGCAATCTCATGGGTAATTCCACCCCCGAACCAATGAATTCCCGAACCTGCGTGGTATAAATTGGGGCCTCGCGGCTCGAGGGTGAGATTCATTGTCACACAGGGATGGAAGGTCTCTGCGTGCTGCACAGAAACCAGATCAGGTTTAGTCGAGTATTGGTGCGCAACCTTGTTGCTAATGTCGTATGTCGTATTTGAAAGTGTCCCCGGAGTAAAATCAGTTCTCCCGTAGTATTCTCCTGTATCGATATCTAGGAGAGATAGGCAGGAATTGATGCCTTCCCCTGCAGTGATAACTTGAGAAAGAGTGGTAATAGCGAAATAGCCATGGCCATTCTCCGCAGTTAACCATAATGCGTACCAATAGCTGTTGATTAAATTGCCAGCACCAAGTGTCATCGCGGTTGTCAAGTCGACACCCGGGCCATTGATCTTGATATGTAAGCACTAACCAGCCAATTCTGTTGTAGGTACTTACGGTGGATGGTTCATCGAGTACTGGGGTGGTTGATGGTGAACGGAAGAAAGCTGAACCGGAACTCGCAAGAGCCGTTAACAACAATGCTGATCGACGCATCTTACGATTTTATAGCTGAGATTCTGTTCAAGGAGGGACCTAATCGCTCTTGGCTTGCTGTTGTTATGAGATTTGCTGCAGTTGGTACGGACATATCTCTACGACCTCGACGGTAGGCTTTAAATGTTCAAGTGTCTAACAAGGAGACGATTACCATGTCTGTATATCTACATGATTGTTGCTAGTAATACCGAAAGTAGCAAATATCGGAGATTTATGCTACCGATATGCCGTGCATCGTCTGTTCCACCAGCCTCCGCCTAGTCCCGACTACCGACATTTGCCTCTGTCTAGTCCCTAAATGTCTTCATCTACCTATGTCTCCTCACCTATGTCTCCTCATAATCGGCAGTCAGGCTACCCATGTTATTCGGATACCGGATCTTTGTCACTTCCAGACAATAAGTTGCCTCGGCTAACTCTGCTTTGATTTCAAGTGATACACCTGAGAATTTCAATGCATACTCAGGCACTAACCCTGAATATGTCAAGTTTTGGGCAAGATACTGAGTACCGCGATTTGATGAATATCTAGTAGGAAGCGGCTTGTACACGGTCGAATAATGAAGGAATTGTGTATCGCGTCTCTTTGAGACTTCTACCGCGCTAGTTCGTGTGTACATCCCCCCGTAGGCCGAGTCGGTAATGGTCCCCAATGGTTATCGAATCGAACTTCCATTCAACTTCTCGGAAGACGGATCTGCAACAGCCCGCTTTGATCTCGAGCCCTGAGACTGACACCGCAGAGTGAGTAAACCTTGCTATCTTGTTACTTCAGTTGTAGTGCTCTGCTAACAACTAAAGCCTGCAGAAATTCACAGCGTCAGTACCACTCTCGTCTGAGCAACACGGTAGGCAAACCTTGATCAGCCACCTAATGGATTACTGACTTGGATTAGATTGCTTGAGATCACTCTCTTTTCCGGAGCAAGAACATCGGTTCCATGATATTCATACCGCCGTAGGTACCTGTGAATGGCTTTTTGAACATACAGGCTACCAAGTCTGGATGGAAGGAGATTTGGGACTCTTTTGGATCAAGGGAGACCCTGGAGCAGGCAAGTCTGTGCTAATGAAGCATTGCGTTAACAGAATGCGTGAGCGCAGTCCAGACAACCTTGTTGTTTCTTTCTTCTTCCATGGCCAAGGGAAGCCCTTGCAGAGGTCATTATTGGGGTTATTCCGCGCGCTGTTAAGCTCAATGCTCGAACACTTCCCAGAACATCTGGCTCAGCTAGCTGCGAAGTGTACAGAGAAAGAGAAACGTTACGGCAGAGACGCATGGGAATGGACTGAGAACGAACTCAAAGAAGCCTTGTACAATTTACTATCAGAGGCTACTCACCATCAACGTCTTATCATCTTTATCGACGCACTTGACGAATGCGGGGAAGATCCCGCAAAGAGTTTGTTAGCATATTTCAAAGGTCTTACCTACCAGGCAAAAAGGAAGCATGCGAAATTCAGAGTATGTCTGTCCTCAAGACACTACCCGATCCTTGCGCTTGATACCATACCCTCGGTACAAGTGGAGAAGACGAATTGTCAGGATATACGATGGTATGTCTGGGAGCGATTGAAAGACATCACGCCAGTGGCAAAGCGTGAGCAGATCCAAGCTGAGATTCTATCCAAATCCAATGGTGGATTCCAATGGGTGTTTCTTGTGACTAAAGGAATAAATGACAAAACTTTAACTGGCACTAAAGAAGAGAAGCTTCTCGAAGAAATCGCCAACTGCCCGGAAACACTGAGCGAAATGTACGAAACGATTCTCAGCGGGGTTCCAGCAGCGAAACAGCATCAAACGGCAAAGATCTTCCAATGGGTACTCTTCGCAGAAAGACCTTTGTCTGCCCAAGAGCTTCGGAATGCGCTTGCTGCCGATAAAGACATGAGTTATAGGACGGTCCGCGACCTCCGAACCCATGAAGGTTGGTCCGACACTGTGGTCGATTTCGAGAGATACGTGAAGTACATCTCTAGAGGTCTTATCTGCTTCCAAAGCCGCGAATTATGGGAGCAATATGAAATCAACGCACCAGACTCAGACCGAGAGACTCAACTTATTCATCAATCAGTGGCGGATTTCCTAACAGAGAAGTTTGCTAGTCTCTTTGGCAATCATTTAACTGCAGCACAATCTTTTATAGGAGCTAGTTAACTACAGATTTCAAGGTCTTGTCTTCGGTACATGATTTTGGAAGATATACTGGAAGATGCTACTCTTCCAAAAGGTACCATCTCCTCGAAGTACCTGTTAGCGCCATACGCCGTACGGTTCTTGTTTACGCACATCAAGAAAGTTGAACAGGAAGGAATTCCTCAATATGACTTACTTTCTGCAATGCAATGGAAGTCGAACTCTGAGGCTATGCGCAAGCTTGCCACCCTATGGAGAACTCGCGACCCGAATAGCGTACACATGCCTCTCGGGTGGCCATTTATCCAAGCGACAGCTTTACATGTCTCAGTGGCCTTTGGGTCCATAAGTGCGGTCAATATGATACTAGAGTCGGGTTTCAAGGGGTTTGAAAAAAGAGACGCTGACGGAAATACACCACTGATGCTCGCCACGAGAGATGGCCACCAGGATATGGCTTTGACGTTGCTAGATCGAATAGTCGACTGCGAAAGCCATCGTGAACATCATGATCCTGATGAAGAGTGTGGGGTCACGCCTCTCTCAGTGGCACTCGATACAGTCATCAACACGCAGAACAACGGCGATGAAACAGCACTCGATTTTGCTCTGGAGCACAACATGGGTGGGGTTGTCCTCAAACTCATCGAAGCAGGCGTCAATCTCAAATACTTAGGGAGAGAGGCCGCATTGTTGGCTCATGCTATCAGCAACAGAAACACGAATCTTCTCTCGACACTGATTGAAAAGAAACTGAATCTTGATGGTGCCGTCTTCTTCGCACTCAAAGACCAGCTGCCTCGGCGTGACCTTGTTTTGGAAGGCATGATCTTTCAGTTACTCAGCGCCGGGGCCAACACAGCTAGATCTTTAGAATTAAACGCTGTGTCTGAAATCGAAGACTACGAAGAAGGCATTGACGATGAAGAAAATGGCGAATATGATACCGATGCACTTGCATTGGCTTCTAGGAGAGGTCTTACTAACGTGGTCGAGATGCTTTTGCAACATGGTGCACCGGCAGCCTTACAGAATGCTCTTGGGGAATGTCCTCTATTGATCGCAGTATTATACCGTCACAAAGAGGTTATCAAAAAGTTGCTCTCGAGAGCGCCATCATCAGTAGAAATACAAGACCAATATGGCGATACAGCCTGGAGCCTAGTTGTCAGACTGTGAGGGTTTTTTTTCTGATCAAGGATTGATTTGGATCACTGTGATAAAAGACTGTGATAATTGATGGAAGAAATTGATAGTATTCTGAATT